GCCACAGATTTATACCGCATTGCACCGAGACTGAATTGACGCAGGCCGAGCCATATTCTGCTGACAACTATGCGAGATTTAATACGGATTTGTTTCTTCTCTATAAGGGACGGTATAGCTTTCTGGAAGGAGAAGGAAGGTCATGACGAAACAGAGTTTGATATGTTTAATTTGGAAGACTGGTTAGCCGTACTACCCACTCAGTATACTGTTCTTTTCTTGGCTTAAATTTTAATTGAACCATGTTGGTATAGGGGTATAGTATAGTAGCACTGTGCCACTGCAGCGAAATGATACACATTCATAAACGTTGGCACGGTACTCTGCAAGATGTAAATTTTTGTCATAGGAGAATCAATTTCTTGAACAAGGCCTGCAGCAGACCCGCAAGAATGTGCATGCAGTGGCAAGGTGTAGCTTTAAAATGCCTGGAGCACTTTACTTTTTTTTTTTCTTTTGATGATTAAGGCATAGAACAGGTTGCGTTTGCGTTTTTTGAAGAACTGTCTTTTGTTCAAAATGCAATATACTATATTATGTACATTTTGGTGGGAAATTCTGCGTGGATGTCTTTATTTGCATCAGTTTTACCTGTAAACCAGGTTTTGTAATAGAGCGATATAAGTACGTACTTTTAACGCACATCTTAGCAATTAGACAAGTCTTAATAAATAATTAAATTAAGGTGGAAAATATGCCGTTTCGGTATAAACATTAGTCTTTAAAGAATATCGAGCGAATTAATCTAATTTGTGATGTATGATATACCCGTCATAATGTTTTTTTTTTTTGACTGACTGACTGACTAAACTATCGAACGTGAATATTCAAATAGTCTCTGTGCATTAGAAACCAGAATAGAAGCCACCTTTTAATAGCGCCCAGGCTAGCTAGCTTTAACCGGTGTTGCAATCGATTTTTCCCCACTCCATGACAATGCAAGACGCTCAGCCACAACAATCCAGCTCCCAAATCTCTGAATGACAGATTTCATTGACTTTAACTCGGACGAGCAAAACTGAATAACTCTTGTTTTATTCTAGAAATAGATTAATGGGTATATGGATCAACTCAAATCTGTGTTTTATAAGAGCCTAAAATGTATTTTTCTTGTTTTCATATCAGAAAATAGAAGAAAATTAAGCTAAATTTATTATTTTAACGTTTGTGTGTACTGTAAATGTTTTTGCATGAGGCAGGGTTAAAGATGAAGTTATTTGTTGGGGAATAAATTCCTTTCATTTGTTTTCTGTCATATGTGCATATGCATAAATATATGTATAAGTCTGAATGACGATTTGGGCCCAGTGTGATAGAGAGATGTGTAGACAGCGACAGGTATCTGTCTTTACTCAGTATGCCTGTATAGTAGCTCGTAGGTTAGTATTGTAGGTTAAGTGCGTAATAGCATGCAGAGCAAAAAAAGTTTTGTTGTGAAAAATAAGATAAAATAGAAATATTTAAATAAATATGTTGCTTTTACCATTAGATATGGCTTGACATTAGAATAATTTGTCACGTGACCGACAATTTGTATGCTTATTTTTTGTAAATTATTGTCGCTTTTAGGTGTTTTCGTGTGATGACGTCTACGATGTTGGAACTATGTAATTGGTTCGTTCTTTTTATCTATATTTGAGAGATCTCAATTTGTAACAGCCCAGGCAATGCTTTTCTTACACGTTTTATTCTCTTTAAGCATTTGGAATATTTTTATTTGATATTTTGATATGTATTTTCAAAACATCACTCCTTGTTAGTTTGTTAAACTGGGGCTAAAAAGTCAGTTTTCGGAAAAAGTTCAGATTTCTAGTTTTGGGACTGAATAAATATACGGTTGCAATAGTTGAAATAAATCGTTTGACATGTGAAATAATGTGTTTTGTGATTTAAACAAAGAAATGCAAAGAAAGAAAAGTGCTTTCTCGCATAACCAATCACAGGCGCACGTTCACATAGAAACAGACTGACTCAGACACAGAGACACTCACAAGATCCTCTTCCAGTTTGACACTGTGGTCACAATTTTAAAGGCGCAGTGTGGTGAGAGTCCCATTTCAGCGCTCTTGCTGTTTTTCAAACATTGCTCACTGATTTGAAATGCTAATACGGAACTGTAATGTAGTTTCACGATGTAAAATGTCGAAAATGTACATGTATGTTAGTTAAGAGGGTGTAATTTGAACTGTTGCATGGAAATGCATTTCCAAACACAGGCTAGTGAAGTATGAAGCCTGAGATTACACGTACGCAGTATTATTATTTTACGGTGTTAGAGAGGAGATGCGATTAATTTAATTGAAAACTACACAAGTGTAAACAACAGTAGCTTTAAAATGCATATTTCAGGCTAATAACAGACAGGAATAGCAGATATTGTCAACAGAGCCTTTTAAATTAGCGCCGTTTTATGAATATACATATTCAAACTTACTTTATTCAAACAGATTCTTGCGTGTCTTTTGAATAAATATGTTCAGCCTGTGAAGCAATAACGTGAGCACAACCTTGCTGCGTGTGGAGTGCGATCTTGAATATGAAATAAATAAAACATTTAAATAATTTAAATGTATTCGCATTGACGAACAGATTTAGGCTACTTTTCATATCACTTGGGATTTTGTTTTATTAAAATAAGATTTGTTGTACTTGTTATAACTGCTGTTTAACAGTGATCGTTCCCGATTTAATTGTTAAAAATCAACTTTTGAAGTTGTTGTTTGCAACTAATGACAAATTAATCAAAGTGAGCTTTTGAAAATGATCATCCAGGGTAAATTTACTAGTTTACTGCATAAGCTACTGCAAGTTCTGCCTTACATTAAATGCGGTAATAAGGTAACATGTTCGACCAAAACTCTTTGGCCTACGGCTTACATTACAATTTTATTTTCACATCAATAATTTGCTGGTTTGAGGAAGAAAATGTAAAGAAATATTGTACATCATTGCATCAGTACTAAACATTTTTTTTCCTGTTTTGTGACGAACCTAGTTCTAGTACCGTAGCTCATTTAATTCATGTCTACAAATCTTGATAATATAAGTCAGACGAGTAAGCTAGAAGCTCCATAATTAACATGTCATACAGAGGAACACTTCACAGTAATACGAGAGGAAGAAAGCAGATTCACCGGAAGGGGATTTCTGCATTGTTAGTCGTATTTGTCTTCCTACTCATAACAGTTTAACAGTTGCCGGTGCACTTTAAAAAGTAGAAATTACTTTGGGGACCACTTGGATTGTTTGCCGGTTTCTTTTCCGTTTTCCCAAGTTGTATCTTAAAGCCTTTCAAACTACAGCGAGTTTTCATGCATACGAGTGTGAAGTTCATTCTTGTCTGTCTAGACTCTGATTACGACCTTGTTTGTCTGCGTTTTTTACCTTGACCTTGGACTTCCATGCAGCTGCCATTTGTAAGATTTGTCCATTCTTCAGTCTGTGAAGACAACGATGGATTTATCTTTGCAAACAGGAGTAATCAATGAACTCATCAACATTATATCTAACGCAAAAAAAAAAAACACTGTCTAAATGGTAAAAACTGTTCAGATTATCTGTAATACACAAAGACCGTCTCTGTCTGTCTAGTCGCTACACAATTGAAACTAATAACAGAGGAATGTTTTAACGGTATGGGACTCTCTTATTCATTCCTCATGAACCGTTGCATTGTAAATGTGCAACATCAGACCGGAAGAAAATCTGATCCTGTGTCTATGGGTTTTTCTTGCCATGGCACTAGCTGGATCTGATTAAATATTGTTGTATTCTACATTCTAGAATTAAAAAAAAGAATACAAATGCAGCATAAAATAATAAACAACTACAATACCTGGAAAAACTACAGATATTTTTGGCTGTGTATTGTGTAATCCTGACATTGGACATTTTGGACAAGTCAGTAAAAGGGAAAGATGTTAATGAAGAATGTAAAAATATCCATACTTAACATTTCAAATATTTTTTCAGCTGTATATTTTGCTGTTTGTATTTGCTTTGTTTTATCTCAAACTGAACTACGTACACATCAGCACGCGGTCCTAAACGTTGGAGGGTACATGGAAAATAATAATTAAAACATTTCTTAAAACTGCAATTGTGTAACTGAATATGAGGCAAATTATTTTATAACAGTGAGACAGAAACATACATATCGATAGATTCATGATCACACGCCATTAGTTTTATGATGAAAATGGTATATGAAATAACATGACGGAGCACACTAATGCTTTTTTGCCCTGTATAGAGTATTTTCATTGTTTGTAGTGGGTTTTTTTTTTGCATTTTTATTCGCATATTATTATAGGTATATTTTAAGTAGTTATTTTGTTGTTGATTTGGGTTTTATTTTATTTGTTTCTAAAATTAATTTACAGCAGAGTAATTCATTCGTATATTAAATAGCCTAACGCAAGTATTTTTCCCTCAAATGCAATTGGAAGTGAATCCTTTCCTTTAGGTGATTGACGATGACAAAAAGCTACTTTTATTGCAAGAAAATAACTGAAGAATAACTGAATTCATACGATTCCGATCATGTATAATTTGCTTATGCCACTCATATTCTGTGAAACTCTTTATGAATTTCTGCACGTTTCCTTTTATGTATACGAGTATGTATATATGCATATATTTATGTTGTCATATATATGCAATGTTTGAGATTGTAGACAATGAAGGTTAAATAAAAAAAAAAATAACAAAGTGCATACTGCCAAGTGTCCAGACATTTGTCGGCCGAAATGTTGAGGTTGTTTTCTTTCCCCTTAGCTTGTAGCCTTCCCCTTTAAGACCAGCTATCTCCAACTCTCTTAGCCAATGCCTGGGCACCGAAAACCTTAAAAGCCAGGCGTGAAACGTGAGCCAGTAGTTGTTTAAAGGGATTATTCTTCCCACCCACAACCCAGTCTCTTTGGGATAGTTAGCATATCACGTGCCTGCGCTTTAATGAACTTGACACATGGATGTAGTCGTGCGCATGCGCGTACGTAAAATGTACTTGGAAATGAGGTATCAGTCTTGGAGTAGGCGACTTTTAAAAAGCATCGGCAGCCCGTGATATGACGACTTCGCTGGTCCTGCATCCACGCTGGGCGGACACCTTGATGTACGTGTATGAAAAAAGCCCGAATGAAAGTAATCAGAATAAAAGCCAAATTATGGAAGGATTGAGCGGGAATTGCCCTGCGACTCATTGCAGGGAACTGATCTCACACCCCGCGCTGGGGCGGCATTCCGGCACCATAGCGACTCACCAGGGATCCGTGTACTCGGATATATCTTCCCCTGAAACTGGGCGACAGTGCCCCGCTCCACAGACGTCATCTAGCGCCTCTCTGAGTTACGGCTACCCGTTTGGAAACCCTTACTACGGTTGCAGATTATCTCACTCGCACAACGTGAACTTGCAGCAGAAACCATGTTCATACCATCCCGCAGAAAAATATGCCGAGACGAGCAGCGCCTTGCCCACTGAGGAGCTCTCCAGCAGGGCAAAAGAGTTTGCTTTCTACCCGAGTTTTGCCAGCTCGTACCAGGCGGTTCCAGGATATCTAGACATGTCGGTGGTCCCCAGTATTAGTGCGCATCCCGAGCCACGTCACGATGCATTGATCCCCATGGAGGGCTATCAACACTGGGCTCTGTCGAATGGCTGGGATGGGCAGGTGTACTGTTCAAAGGAGCAAACACAGACTTCTCATCTTTGGAAATCTCCGTTTCCAGGTATGTCTTGGTATAGTTGTGAAACCATGAAAGTATGAAAAGTGCATGTGTATTACAGGGATGATACGACTACCTGTTATGATAGGACATACTTTTCCCCAATTGTAAACTGAACGTGCAAAGCATTCGCCTTAATGAAATGTGTCTATGTATTCTTCACGAAAAGTAATCAGTTCATAAGAGCTTTCAACTCATAACTCTACATAATGGATTATGATTGCGCATCCAGAAGGTCTGAAGGAACCTGTCAAATGTGTCCGTTTTGTTCTATTCATTTCATGACGTGACAGTCGGTACATGTTCAATTGGCTTACCACAACAAGAATTGAGCGAATCCTAAACTCAAGTTTCAGAAAGACAGAGTTTAGTTCGCCTAGACTATACGTTTTATTTACAACCTCTTACATAAAATAGTACAATGTTTGAGTGACGTATCTGGTTACAGAGGGTAGTCATATATTAACTCAAATATTATTGAGTCACAGGATTCTAAAGCTAGGAAAGTCACGCAATTTGGAACTGGGGTATGGCAATAGTGTCTACCTTTGCTCCTCCCGTATGATAATACAGAAGGTCCTTATTTGTACCACGCATATAAATCTTTGTCAGCAGTAATCGGGAGTGGTGCCCCACAATCTGTTATGGACATTTTGCGAATGCCACGGAGCAGCATTATTTTTTTCCTAAGAGCAGCTGACGTTCTGTAGTCAAGTTATTGATTTTAGCCGTGAGCAAAAATATTGCATATGATGCAAATACTAACTCAGCCATTCAGTATTGTTACTCAGCTGTGGCAAATCAAAATTACCGGTGCTATGTTGGTAGTTCACTGTAATTTCAGATCTAAACTAAATATACTGTCGCATTATAGTGGTTATAGTGAATACTTGTCACCACCATCACGCCCCTGACCCGTTTAGCAACCCTCCCCTCCCCCCTAGAAGAGGTCACATACACAGGTAGCCACGAATAGCCACAAATAAGGATATAACAAAATATGCTTGTTTAATGCAGTCCTTTTGATGAAAATCGTCTTTACAGTTTTTTCAAGTGTGTTTGGGGCAGAATTGAACCAAATTTCTTCATCTTTTATCAGTGTCTCACCGGACAAGCAAGTAATATTAATGTTTCCTTTTTTTGTTTATAGATGTTGTTCCGTTGCAGCCAGAAGTCAGCAGTTATCGTCGAGGGCGCAAAAAGCGTGTTCCCTACACCAAGATACAACTAAAGGAACTGGAAAAAGAGTATGCAGCAAGCAAGTTTATCACCAAAGACAAGAGACGACGCATCTCTGCGACAACCAACCTCTCAGAACGCCAAGTTACTATTTGGTTCCAGAACCGCAGAGTGAAGGAGAAAAAGTTTGTCAGTAAATCCAAGACTAATAATCACATGCATACTTGATGTATGTGTCGTACTTTTTTTCGCCAGCTTATATCCTTCCGTCCAGAAAGTCCTTTATTTACCTCTGTTCAGAAATCATGAATGAAGAACGTCCGGGCAGCCTCACGCCTAAGCTGTCTTCTTTCACTTTATTTAATTTAAAACATGCACACACACCATAACCGCCCACTCTTGGGCTTTTTGGGCATATGATACAAAACTATGAAAATACAGGAAAAAAAGAGAAAACATTTCAACTTCGTCCTTTTCTATGAATGTACATATATAAGTAATAAATATTTAAAACTACACAAGTATCAAAGAGACATATGGTTTACGTGCATCTGAAAATAAAAGGAGACCCGACCCTTCTGCATCTCTTCTTGAGTGCGTCAAAGCCAACCAGCCGCAGAAAACACTCATGGGGCTCAACGTACGAGAAGAGGGAAAAAAATAATTCTGTGGGACACTTTGGATGAATCAAGACTTGTATAAACTCTCGAAAGGCTGTAGCAAATGTTGAACTGGATCACGAATAGAACCGACATTTGTTTTTCGTGGAAATTACAAAGATTTTGCTAGAATGAGCCTGCGAGACTTCAAAAGCTAAATGGTTCAGTGTGGGATAAATTGCTTTTTAATGCCGAGGGTAAACCAGGCTGCTAATGTTAACTGTACAGTTTAATGCTTCTATTATTTAATTTAGATTTCGCGTATGACAGGTCTGTAAAAAAAGGAATGTTTCAAAATCATTTGTATGTGTCCCTATTAGCAGTGAAGGATATGACTCTGCCATGCAACTGGAATGATTGTAAGCATTTAAAAATCATTTAGTATTAAACATTAATGCACAACCTTTTTGTTTTTATATATAGAAATATATATCGTAAAGCATTGGAGCTGTTCACACGACTTGTCTGTATCTCTTTTCGTGCAGTATGTGAACTGTATTGTGGTGTTCAATTCCTAAAGTACTGAATTGAGACATATTTCATAAATAAAAATGACAATGGAATTTGTTGAGTTCATGCTGCTTGTGGTGAATCAATGCATTTCAGTTATCAATGACAGCGGTGGCCCATTTATGGCCGCTTCATAGATAGATGCATATGTGTCAATCCATCTTTATCTGTTTGATAAAGCTTTCAAGTGAGCTCTTACAATAGATTAAATGTTTTTGTGTCGTTTGGAAAGATATTGCATATTGCAAAGACTAACTTTGTTCATCAATAGTAGTACTCGGGGTTGCTTGAAATGTATAGCTATTGAAAAATATACACAACCTTCATATTAGTGACAAGACAAGATGGTATTGACAACTGCAAATGGTAAAGTATTGTCAGTTAACTTACAACATTTAAATTGTCTATACTTTAAATGCTGGCAGTTCAAAATTTAGCGCCGAGTAGCCTATAATTTGAACCAGAATGCTCAAGCAACGGGCTTCCAATTGGCCTTACATATTTTAATTCAAGCGGTGCACTTGCATGTGATCTAGGCACGTAGTGTTTATTTATTTAATAATAGTAGTAATAATGTAATTCTTGGTTATCGTTAATTTAGATTTAAAAGTCTGCTCCGTTCGTAGGTAATTTTACCATAATTTAAGTAATGTTTTTAAACAATAAAGGCGAAAGAAGGCGAATTTTCAATGAAATGTCGCTATGATATGCCACAGTCAGATATAATATGATCTTCACCGTTTCCTACTTGATCACAAGGATTATCCTGTTTCTTGCATCATGAAGGTATAGGTCGGAAGCATAATATTCACTTAATGCTTAAAGATTTCATTTTTCTTATCAACTTATTATTAACTTTTCAATATGATTAAATAAAAGAAACTGCCTGAAGCACTGTTAATGGTGTAAATTCTTTTAAATACTTTTTCTTATGACACACCTTTTAATTTTAATGGCAGTGTGTAGGCTACATTCAACGAATAAATTAAATACTGTCAACTTTCAGTTATAACTAATTTGCTAAAGACGGTGTTGTACCGGACAGTTCTTATGAGTCTTAAGAGAGAATTAATCAGACGTGATTTAACTCGAAAAATGTTTGTTGATTTTTAGTAGAGTTAAACTTCTAAGATATAGAAAACCGGCTTGTTGATTTTTTTTTTAAACCAAAGTTTCCTGCT